GGCAATATGCGACTCCTTCACCCAGTCCCCAGCAATTCAGACCGCATTGTGTCGGCCCCTCTCCAGGCCTAAAAAACATGCTGTGTTCTTCTGGCACCCAGCTCTCGCCGCTTCAGGCAGCGGCGGAAGGCTCGTACTTACCTTTCTGGTCACCGGTACCCGATCTGCCGCAGAGAGATCCAGTCATTACGAATCTTATACCATACTGAATTCGTTCATCACGGTACAGTACGCACATGCCAGGTCCAACGCACAAAATACCAATCTAAGGACGTTTCAATGCGAACATTTTGGACACACGTAAAGCTGCTAGCAGCGACCAATGGGCCATGCATTATGCCAGTGTTCCACCATTACTGCTCCCCTTTTATAACCAATGAGCGAATGCTACAATAAGCGGCGATACACGGTTGAGCCACCATTATTTTAACCCCGTGGATCCCCTCACACCTTTCCTTGCTCATTCTTTTTTGTTGTTTTATGTCCTTGATACGCACATAAAACAGGAGGTGTGTAACGTACAGATACAGGGGTGGGATGTATGGGTGTGTGCTAGGTGATATTGGCGTTAGGTAGGTGTATGCCCATATGCAATAGGTGTCTTATCGGTGCGTCACATTGTCAGCAGAGGGGGCCAGCAGGGCAGCCAGCAACCGCTCACCCATCGCATACGTTGATACCTTAAAATATTAAAAACATGATGGCTGATCTTTATCTAACTTTATCTTTTGCCGCTCCCTAACATCACAAGATAACGAAGTTTCAGTTTACTAATGTGGATGCAATTTTGAGTTTTCCTGCACCTTGTTTTGCGTAAAATATGCTGAAAATGCCGAAGTTTCTTTCACAGACATAGACGCCGCAAATACAATGCCAGACACAATGACACAACCTTTCTCAACACATAATTTTTCAACTTGAAAATGAACATCGGCAGCCAAGAAGGCCTCTTTTCCTATGTCTGTACATGCTACGCACAAGGTTGATCAAACACGGCTTTATGCGGGTTTCCGTAGCGGAGACACGGCTTTATGCGGGTTTCCGTAGCGGAGACACGGCTTTATGCGGGTTTCCCTAGCGGAGCGCAGGTCTGCGGGGGACGCGAGACAGGCCTTGCGGTCGGTTCAACTTTCGCTTTTGCTCGCTTTTGAGGTCGGTCGGTACCTTGATGGGTTGCGCGAAAAAGGGCCGAGACGGGACATCACATGAAAGCGACAAGTGCAACAATTTCTATTCTAATTCAAATGTCGATTACGTGGTTATTCCATCTCATTTCCCGTGTAAGATGTTCCATGATAAAGCACACAGCGATGACATTATAGGCGGCGATGTTAGCTGCGTATCAAGTCCTTCCCTGGACAGGGACACCCCACACACCACTGAACACGGACGCCCCACTGGACAGGAACATCCCACTGGACAGGAACGCCCCACTGGACAGGACCCACCCACTGGTCAGGGACAGCCCACTAAACAGGGACAACACACTGGACAGGGACAACCCACTGGATAGGGACACTCTACTGGACAGGAACATCCCACTGGACAGGAATACCCCACTGGACAGGGACAGCCCACTGGACAGGGACAACTCATTGGACAGGGACAACACACTGGACAGGGACACCCCATTGGACGGGAACATCCGACTGGACGGGGACAACCCACTGGACAGGGACACCCTACTGGACAGGAACGCCTCACTGGACAGGGACAACCGACGCAGGGCGACGCATAACGATATTCGGTAACGTGCAGAGCCCAAAGACATTCGATTTCCTCAAAGACGTTGTAGATGCCTTTGGTCTAAGCGATGCATGGATAAAAACGAACACAGATGTACGGAAATACATGCGTAAGGCACGACTCAGTTGTAACCATATCTCGCGTAGGTTTAATTAACACAAGCGACGCTTTCCACGAGGGCGGATCGAAGCTGTCACGTGTTATACGAGAAGGGTGCCTGTCAGACCATAGCATGGAAGAGCTCGCCGTCCGCTTCCGTCAAGTAGAACGAGGGCCGAGGTTCTGAAAGTTTGATACTGATCGTCTGAATGATAAGCGCTTTTCCAAAATCAGAAGGAAAATTGTGGAAAGTATTGAACTAGATTGTCAGCATGGCATTCCTAGGCATCTTGCTCTACCCATGATACTGTGCACCATTAAAAGAGAAATAGGTAGCTTTTATGCACAAAAAAGAGATGACTAACTGTAAACTACACGACGTTGGAAGGAAACAGAGCGCAGTTCGAGTGGACCCAGCGGACGTCAGTGCGTGCGGACCAAAACCGGGACCGGAATGAACAAAAACCAAAGGAGAAAAAAAAACAGGACAGTGCATGCTTTAATGAAAAAAAAGAGATTTGGCTCAACATGGGAAATGGCTCTTTATCATGTAAGCACCACGGATCAGCTAGCAACGTATGCACTAAGCGTCAGTAGTTCAATGAAACGGTCTTCTAACGGAACTTTTTCCTCAGAGGGGTCTGAAACAGGGCTGCCTTCATAGCTCCGCTCCACATGCCCCTCCGCTTCATAGCTCCGCTTCACATGCCCCTCCGCTTCTTAGCTCCGCTTCATTTGTGCTCAGCGTGAAGCCATGAACATGCGCAATCCAATCGGATGCATGTGGCAAAGGCACAAAGTCGATGAGCCAGAAATGAGGATCTGGCTTTCTCCGATGATGTGACACTGCCAATCCAGAGGTCGGGAAGCCACTTCTGGTTTCAAGTGGTTTCTCTACAAAGTGAGAGAGAAGCCATTTCAATATTCAAGAAGTTTGGCAAAGGTAAGGGATTCACCTGAATCTAAGTTAGACCATAGTAAAAAGTATTGGATTGACATCAGATCTAGGTAAATCGTTATGTCCTGATCACGGGTTGCATTAAGGACCCATTGACACACTTGCTGTGGAGACTGCACACGCTATTCACTGACTCAGCACACCGACTAATTACGAAAAACCGTTAAGCAACGTTAAACCAGTGACTGAGTAGGAGTCTCACAGTGGTCCCCAAGAACACCTAGTCTGGTCTCTGATGAATTTTATCGCCATCAATTTTTTTCTCGAGATTTACATATATGAGAAGAATTTGACTTTACACAAGCGATTAGCAGGTGGAATTAGACGTGGGGCAGCCCTCTCCAACTTCCTTGAGTACTGACGTTGAGGCCGGCACTAGGTCACTGACAGACAAACTAAACAAAAAACAAAAAACAAAACAAAAACAGCTTGCATGCCTCGCATCTGTTGTCGCGACCGGTGTTTGGAAAGGTATTCCCCCAAAGGCAAAAGTTCGATCGAAGCTGGTGTGTTTTTTAATCTTGCCAGACTTAGAGGGGGAAATCATGAAAGATATTGAACAAATCAGATTTTATCTGGTATGGAAAGAAGTCAAAAACTAAGAACAGGTATAGGACGGCTCTAGATACCTGGATGAATCTGAAGCGCCAGGTGTACAAGCTCAAGCTCAAGCCTCAAAATAGCATGAATGAAAAGGTTGCTACCAGGGGTGGAACTTTGCATTTTCATTGGAGGGGGGTGGAGGGGGGGGGGGCGAGTCCGTCAACCCTGACCATCCTCTTTCCAACAGCCATTTTTTCAAGAATTGTGTCTAATTTGTTGCCCGGTCATAATTTGGAGTTGATATAAGGAAGAAAGGCATGCAGCTCCTGTTTTTTTTTCGGTATCACGCGCACAAAGTAATTGCTTTGAGTTAACAACCTACAGTACACATGGAGATGCCGATTAAACGTCCTTGTTGTGCTACACAACTATTATATTGACAGTACTCTATATAACGAGCTGCGCTCATCCCCAACAGCTCGCTTCTTGGAGATGAGCGCGAAACAGCACATGGACGTTTGTATTTTAGAAATGTTTCTTCATAGACGTCTCAAAGCTTCTGAAAATTTGGAATACCGATTTTGCATTCTGTTTTGGTTCCAAGATGGATTATTTGCTGGAGAAGAACCATGCCACAGAACCTGCTTGGTCATAGTAGACACTGCACATGCCCACAATGGTGCCGTT